AAGTGGCTTAATTTTTATTGTTATTTAGTTTTTCTTGAAAAATTATGGTTTCAGTAGGTTGCTGCCATTGCATAGAAGCTAGATCAACCTTTTCCATTCAAAAATGTAGATGTTGTTACATTGTTATGGACGTTATCGTCATTGTGACTTTTGGTGTGCGTGTCCCCAAAATGTGACTTTTTTCGTGGAAAACCGTCTCTTAAACACGCATGCAGGGTGCAGCAAAAAAATCGAAATGCACTGCACGCTGCACGCTGGACGCAAAACGTGGCTCGATAACTTCCCGCCTTACCTGCATCGATACCACTGTGCATTATCGCTCATGTATTCCCATGCAGAACCTGAAGACTGAACCTGTATTTGAAGCATTGGATAAGATTTTCTGCCGCTACAACAAGGCAGGCTTTCATGTCAAGACGATCAAGTGTGATCGGGCATTCATCCCTCTATCGGATGATATGCTAGACGACATGGGTGTTACTATTGACCCGACTGCATCTGGAGACCACAAGCCTACAGCTGAGCGAAACAATAGGATGCTGAAAGAAAGCGTCAGAGTAGCTCTTGCACGATTACCCTACAAAGTGGTCCCAAAGGTGATCACTGAATGTCTTGGACGTCGAGCCGCCGAGCTATTGAATGTCTTTCCCCGGGAAAGACAGTATTTCCTCACATTTCAGTCCACAGCAAATCATTGATAATGTCAATATCAACTACAAGAGTGACATGGTTGCTGAGCTTGGACAGTATGTTCATGCAATTGGGACGGATTCCAACAATTCGATGGAACCCCGCAGTATTGAAGCAATCTACATTGAACCTACAAAGGGACAACATACTGGGCACTGGCCGAGTGCTCAACCTCAATAGGAAGAAGATGATTTCTTGACCCAAGGTCGTTGTACTACCCGTTACCGACCAAGTAATCCAGCGTGTTGAAGCCTGGGCTACTGCTGAAGGTATTACTTCTGTCAAGTTCTTTGATAAGAAGAGAGATTTGGAGACATTTCAAGATGGCGATCAAATTGCAGGAGTGGATGACACGGAACGAGGTTACTTAGAAGAAGCCTTTGATCAGGACTATGAACCTGAAGATGAACATGAACGTGATTTTAATCTACGTGGACAATTCGATGATATTGATGACTCCAAAAGAAATGAGCTCTTGGCAGATGCAGACAATGATGTCAATGATGTGCCAGAACTCACTGTCAGATTCCAAGGAGATGATGACTATGAATCAGATGACGGCGATTCGGGTGATGAGGAAGAAGAAGCTATTGTGGCCAATTTGGATCACCATCAAGAAAATGTCGATAGAGGAACCAATGCTATTGGAAGCCTTGTTACTGATCTGCAGGATCTACAAGAACCGCCAGACGAAGAGATTGTATTTGAGCCTGAAACGCCTCAAGTAGCAAAATTCACTCAATCCGGGCAAACATATGCGCAAGCTGCAATGTGGACTTCAAGCAGGGGTGGCAGTTCTGCCAATAAGAACATGAATCGAGTTGCGGCAAGACGCAAGCATGGGGAGAGGGAATTGAAACCATTGAAGGACAAATTGAAGTCTAGTATTCGTACCAAAGAAGAAAGTTGCAGTACTAAAGACAGTAAAGCTATCCTTGAAGCACAGCACAATCTATGTTTCCAAAAGATTGGGAATGAGATGAAAGCTGATTATGAAGGGCACGACGCTATTCTGATTGCTGGTTGCATGATGCAGATCAAGGCCAAGTTTGATAATGATGACGGTCTGAACTTCATTCAACAGTATTACATCAATCAAGGACTGAAGAAGTTTGGTGATGATGGAAAAGATGCAAGAAGCAATCACCACTACTTGTGTTATTGATGCACACAAAGGTAGAGATATAATGACGATGGATGTGCCTAACGCTTTCATTCAAACTTATATGCCTGAAGCTAAGAAAGGAGAAGATCGTATCTACATGAAAATCACTGGCATGATGGTCCAGATATTGATTGACATGGCCCCAGAGTATTGTGAATATGTTGTATTAGAGAACGGAAAGCAAGTAATCTATGTGCGGGTACTACGTGCTATATATGGGATGTTGCAATCAAGCCTCCTATTCTATAATCAGTTTTGAAGTGATTTGGAGGCAAAGGGGTTTGTTTTCAATCTGTATGACCCGTGTGTTGCTAACAAAGTTGTTGATGAAAAACAGCAAACTATCAGGTTTCATGTTGACGATCTTATGTCAAGTCACATGGATCCGAAAGTAAACAACGAATTGGCTAAGTGGTTGAACATGAGATATGGTTCAATCAAGGCGTGCACAATTGTCAGAGGAGAGATACATAGATATCTTGGAATGACTTTGGATTTCTTGGTGAAAGGAAAACTCAAGATCCGCATGAACGACTATGTCAAGAACATGTTGGAGGAGTTTCCTATCAAAGTTCAACAAGGACATTCAAAGCAAGAAACACCAGCTGGTAACGATTAACTGGAAGCTGGTAAAGGAAAGTTACTCAATGCTGAGTACCGTCAAATCTTTCATACTACTGTTGCAAGGGGACTTTATGTCTCTAAGAGAGCTCGTTTGGATATCCATCCAACAATTACTATTCTTGCCTCGAGAGTTTGAGAACCTACAGAGTCTGATTGGAAGAAGTGTGTTCGCATAATGCAGTGAAAAGTTTAGCATTGGGTGGTAACTGAAGCGAGGACAGTTGTACTTGAAGTTCAAAGGAACTGGAGAGGTAGGCATTTTGTGCTTTAGCCATAGGGAGTAATTTTTTGTCGCACCAAACGGCAAGTGCATAGAGAAGACTGCCGGAATAGGAGACAACAGGGCGTGTGGCGACTGGCGTTTTGTGGATTTTAAATAGAGGGTAAAAGATTGCAAAGGGGTCTTTGACTCGATTTATGTGCCTTTTAATGAACTTAATCTCGTCAGAGGCAAAATAGACTCGATTATCGGCAATCCATTCTAAAATTTCAACTTGAACTGCAGCGGCAGTAAGTATGGCTTCCTCATGAGAAAGGCAAGTGTAGGAGTTGACATCTGAGAGCAGAGTACGAACTCGATGTATATATTCACGTTTTTCAATGATGCAAAAGCCCAGATTTTGTCAGTGAGAGCTATTACAAAATTGTCTTTAGTTTGGGCCCATTGGAGCGCGCGGCGTTGGTGGGGGAGAAGGTTTGAGCGGCCTCGTCGGCGGACAAATTCCTCTAGAATTTCATTACAGAAATTGTTGAGACGACGTTGAACAATTGCAGGATATGTGAATCTTGGCGGATCCCAATCAGATGGGACATACATTTTATGATTGTATTGACGATCAGTATCGGTTTCAGTCTCAGGGTTTGCATTAGTGTTATGTTGATTGGTAGTACGGTCAAATTGGCGAAGGACCTCGCGAGGACCATTAGAATATTGAGGTATTGGAATGAACTTGTGGCCCAAGCCCAAGAGTGGGCAAAGATCATAAGATGGTGTAAGTGTTGTAGTAAGGTCATGAAAAGTCATGGACTGTGGGCGGCAAAAGTAATACCAGGATGGTATGTTGCCTAAATACTGGAGAGCGTTGGCAGAAACATAAAGTGCAGGATTTGCAGCAAAGCCACTTCTTGTGTTTGTTGCCAGCGTTGGACGAGTTTGAATGCTTGTTGGTCGATCTGTCTCTCGAGGCATTGGTGTTGGTGCCTTGAGAATCTCTGTTGGAAGCGTTGGCGGATTCGGCGGCTTGTGGGTCGTCCTGTCGAGGTGTGCAACCGGCGTTTGAATTTCCGCGTCCTCTTCCTCCACGTCCTCGTCCTCTTTTGCTGGGGCGTTGTGGTTTGAGAGAGTTTCCCGGTAGAGCTCTCTGTGAGTTTTTAAACTTCGTTTCAAGACCATGAATAGTTCCTTTAAGGGGAGCAGTGGCTTAAAGCACCTCCCTCTGAATAAGGGTGGCAAGGGTTGCAGGAGGAAGGGCTGCTTCTTGGTCGACTTGCATTGCAGCGGCAGCAGTAGCTTCATTAGTGAGAAGTTTGGTCAACATTTTCTTCATACAGAGGGCGTTATCATTGTCTTTTTGCAGACAAATATAAGCTGTCCATGCGTCAAGAAAACAGGTGCGGATAGATCGCCAAATGTGGGCAAGAGTGTCCTCAATGTGGCGCATGACGTTTTGGTTTTGAGCTGCGGCGGCAGCATTGTGATATGGATTCAAGTTGGCGGCAGGTGCAACTGCAGCTTGGTTTCCAAGTGGTAGGTTATTGTTGTTAGCGGGGGGCGAGGATAAAGGATTTGGTAGAGGCTCTGTGGCTGAAGTAAATTGAGTGTAGTTTGACTTCAGATGTTCTTTTGTAGTAAATTCAGGAAGCTTGAAAATAGGAGTGATCTCCTTGTGGTGACAGTCCATGATGGTGTTCGCATATTTATGAATTTGTTGTAGGTAAGATCATTAAGAGTGATGTAGGCTTTGGAAGCTTTGTAGAGTGCTTCACAAAAAACTCGTTTTGCGGCTGTTTGGTGGACTTTTACGTCAAGTTTTGTAGCTTTGACAATGGTGACTTTTGCGGCTTGTGCAAAAGTGCGGGCTGAATTGGATAATGTCTCCTCAAGATTATCCAACATAGACCGCAGGCACACTGTTCGATCTCTTTGACTACATTGTGTTACAGACGGACAAAGGCCGAACGGCCTTTGACTGTCAAAAGTTGTTGTCAATGAGCCAAGGCAATGATGCCCAGTTTATCGACTGATATTGAATTCACCCACTTGTGTTGTGGTAATTCAATTTTTCTCTTGCTACCCAGCTTTTGTCTGCAAGCGAACAAAAACTCCAGCTCCTTCCACGCCGCCCTCATTCATCGCAATCGGCCAGCGTGACGTGCAGCTAACAAGTTCCCAACATCCCTCCTAGAAGAGCTGATCGGATTGTCTTGATCCTACATTCGTCTTCCACCGCTCCGAGGCAATGTTGAAACAACAAAAACGTGTTCTGTGCCCCTGTCATCCTTCGAAAAATGACATCCTTCCCCAAGTTACTTGGTCCTGAGAGTCCCCATATGGGAACTCAGTTTCTCTCTTCTGTCAGCATCTGCTTTTCCAATGATTCAATTCACCAAGCAATCCATGACAAGAAGAGACCAAAGAAAGCGGAAGTACAAGTGTCCTTGGGTTTGCTGTTCCTACAGGAAAGCCCTATTCGGTCTATGGTCAGGGTTGCAAGGAATCAGTGACAGCAGAGACCATTTCTGCCAATGCTATCCGTTTTAATGCACCTGAGATGCTCGCTACGGACAAGTTGCGGCTCTTGAACTCGTCTCGCCTTGGAGCAGTACTTGGAGTATTTTTTACTCCAAATTCTCCTCCGGTTATTGGATGAGGCGCTAGTCCTCTTAGCACTACTTTCAATGGGCAAGATGCTGTCCATCGCGGGGCCCCAAAGTGGTCTGATTGCTTTGAGCCCACTTTGATCGAGCAATACTGGCAAGGCGACATGAGTGTCCCTACTCATAGTCTGGTGGTTTCCCTCAGTGGGCGAACACGGTTGGACATGCCAGCGTCAGAGCGGGATTTTGTTCAAGTGACAAAGCCTGCAATGCTGGTTGGGGACTTCTTAAAGGTCCTTCTGATTCCTGATGGATGTGGTGCCCCGGTGGGCCTTTATTGGCCAACTTCTATTTCTTTTGAGGACTTCAAGAATTCTTTGAGTGGACATGGTACTCCTTATGGGAGTTTCTTGGAATTATTGCAGACTCAGTCTTCTATTTTTTTTGAAGACTGTTTTACAGCAGTGAACTCAAGTGCTGTGTCCTATCAATTGCAGACTACTTCTGCGATGGATCTGTGGGCGACTTTGCCTTGTCCTTCAAACCTGCACGGGAATGGTCTATTATATGTTGCTGCCGCACAACCCCTACGAGAGCAATTTGCTCGCTATGTAATGGGGATGGCTCTGGATTGTGCTCTCTTTGGCCCCTGTGATGTGGGAGATCGACAGGCTATCAAGCAACGCTGTCAAGTTGGTGCATGGTTGGAACGTGCTCAGCAGTGCTACCCGCCAGCACTGGGGTATCATGGTCCGCCGGATCACTTTGCGTACCTATCTGTTCTTTGTCCTCCTGAGGATGGTTGGCCGGAATTTTCTACTTGGCTTTCTGATTTGCCTTTCAACGCGCTACCTGATAAGCATCAGCGATTTGAACCGAAAGAGATCCCTGTGAAAGCTCAAGCAGTGTTTGTTCCAGCCATTATTGTGGAAAAAGAGGACCCTGATAGCGATTTGGATGCTTATGCAAATGTGTTTGCCACGACTGCAACTACAGTTACGGCTACACTTAACATTGCTACAGTCCCAGCTCCGGCTGCGAATGTTGCTACTCCAAGTCCACTTCCACCAGTGCGGCACTCGGCATCCCCACCTGCCATTCCACAAGACGTCCTCAATGCTATGCAAAAAGTGAGGGTTTTCCAAGAACAAATTGTTCATGGTACATTTGCGGGCACACCTGCTAATCCAGTGGATTTGGTCGCTGGTGATGTGGAGTAGTATGACATTTGCCCGAATGACTTGGCAACCAGGTTTGCTTCTTCGGCAAATGATTCTTCTACTGCAACAGTTATGCGAGCTGGCAATATTGCTCATTGTCGTCGCTCTAGTTTAGCACAAGGAAGATTTGGGACTGGTCTGGGCCTTGCTCCGATGCGGAACGACATGTTCAACCCGCAGACACTGGCGGCAGCGCTTGGAGTGCAACAGTCTTGTTTTGTTTCAGCTGATAAAGCGTCTCTTGCAAGTGTGCAGGCACGCCGGACCTGCAGCCCCCATTTCCTAAATGTTGCCCTGGTTGTTGCAAGTTTCTTTCCCCAAGAGGAGCAACCCTATCTGTGTCTGTCTGATGCCCGTGTGGTGGCTGCAACTGCTTGGATGAAAGTGCCGGAACCAACCAGACTCGCATGTGATCTCATTGCGGTATGGGACTGGCCACAAGGAGGCAACGTCGGGTGTCACACGAACACTGCATTATACACTTCGTTTTCGTGCGGATATTGCTAGGGATTTTCAACAGATCCCGCTTCCATATAAAGCTGAATTCGACCTGCTAAATTTTGCAATGCATAAATCGATTTGTGATGTGGCGAGATGGAAGATGGGTTGGAAAGTACCACCACCCCCTGTCGGTGGTCCATCTTGGCACATCTTTCAATTGCAACCCTTGGTAAACTCTATATATGGCGGTACATGTATTCCTCCAGGGGGACTTCCGATTGCTGAGGCACAATTGTTTGGGAAGTATGTCTTGTGCTTTGTTTGGGGAGGTTACTGCAATGGTGCGTTATTGTTCAGGAGCAGCACCTACTACTTTGGGTCTTCAAGATGCTTTGTTCCATGGCAGAGAAGATGTGGTGGCTGGCGCTTTTGTGGTGGCTCCAACTATGGTGGGACGCCACTCATTCACCAAAAAGCCTCTTTGCTACTTGGACAAGTTCCAGCTGCTTTATGAACAAGTGGAGAAGAAGTGGGATCCTGCTGAGTTGGATATGAACGGCCATACTTGGAGTCATAATTTTTCTTTGAGTTTCTTTGGAACCGCCATCCCTCCTGTACTACCTCCTGCAGGTCCAGATCCTTTTTGACATGGTCTCTCTGCTGGGGTACAGCCGCCTCTTGCAAAACAACAACGATTGGAACTACCTCCTGCAGGCCCACCACCTGGGCCACCGCGACCTGAACACACTGTACCGTTTACAGCCAAGAAACCTTTGTTTAAATCTTTGCTCCCGGTGGTAGCTGGTCAGTCCGTGTATGAAGCTGTTTTGATGAATAAATTGGTTTGAGGTGACTCTCCACTTCTCCTGAATCCACAAGGTACGCTGAAACACCCAATTTGTTTTCGTGCTGCGTTTGAAGGGTCTTGCTCATGTGACAACGGAACAGGGATTTGTTAGTCCCGCGGCTTTGCAAAATCTAAAGGCGTGGGACAGGATTGTCTGCATGTTGATCTTGCAGATCCTCGATGGCATGCACCAGCTTATGCTGAAGCAAATTGGGCCCGAGTGGTCAAGTTTGTAAAATTGTACCAAGAGAAGGGCGTTCTTGGGCCCTCTGCTTTGTTCAAAGCAAGACCCACTTTGTTTTCCGGAAGGTGCACGACTTCTGGAAAAAGAATCTCTCACGACGACATGCATTCCAATTCCATTGGATTGTTGTGGGAAGAGGACGTTTTGACGAAGGTTCCCATCAAAACGGACTCGGAATTTGACAAAAAAGAAGCAGAAGAAGGAGAGACGGAGGCAGCAAGTCCCTTGGCGGATGGACTGGTCATTGGTGGTAGATGGCGTTGACCACCTTTGGACCGGCTACCCACAGCGTGGAATGATACTGTTGATTTTATGGATATTGCTGTCCATGTTCAAGCTAGTGGTTTTCTTGATGCTCGTACTATCCATACTTTGACTGTGGTGCACCGTCATCTTGCACCACACTCTATGGTGTTGAATAAGGTTAGGGTTAGGGTTGAGGAGAAGAATGAAGAGGAGAAGAATGAGGAAGAGGAGAAGAATGAAGAGGAGAAGAATGGAGCGGTGGAATTCTTCTTTCCGCCCACAGGAACATGGCATAAGAAGACAAGGAAGAAGAATAGTAAATTGAGGGCTAGGCTGGCTGAAACTAAGTTTGCGGATTTAGACCCTCCCGCTTGTCTAGAACATGCCAGTCGGATGCTGTCGTTTGAACGTAAGATACTGGAAGATTGCAATGTAAGGTTACAAAAACAACAAGAAAAATATGGAAAACAGGAGAATTCACTTGTTTCTAAGGCACCGGTGCATGCAGAAGCAGCTGCACTTCCAGCTGCACTCTGCACAAAATTTCTTTCATTGTTGCATGTCCTGTCAAGGGAAGCCACAATCCAGTTTGGTACCTTGCCGAGTGGAGTGGCTACCAGGTTGTAAGAGATGAGAGGAAATGAATCAATTCATTAAATTCATGAGTTCAAGCTTGCTGATGTTCTGCAGTGTGAGCATCACTGGTCGTGCCGACAAAGTGACTGACAACGTCTACAATGACGTTTCCAGACGTCCAGGGCAGGAATACATTAAAAGGTTTGCCACCCAGACTGAGGACTTACAACTTGAAGATCTTAACAAGTAGGATGTGGGTGATCTATTCAATTTTACATTTACCATCCCCAGGTTTGGAGAAATTCTGCTTCAAAATCTGGTGGAACTATCAATCAACCGTTGTAGCATCGCCTAATCTCAATGTTTTGTATCCATTGCTTACTGCAAGATCCAGCATTTGGATGTCAGTTCAAACAATATAGAGTTGGCTGGGTTTGAAGATTTCCTGCAACTACAGCCAGAACTTGGAGATCACTTTGGCTTCTCCATGAATTTAAATCCATTCCAATTATAGTTTTTGGATTCCGGTGAGAAAGAAAGACCAGTAGATCCAATTAGAGAGGAAACCAGTTCCTCCGCAGGTGCTGCTTGGAATAGCTGTTGTTGGAGCTCTGGACCATTATAATCCTGACAAAGGTCTATGACGATCCCTTTATGTTTCTTTTTCTTTGCAGTGTTGCCATTCCTTTTGAGCGTGAAACATCTTCTTGAGACCTTTTTTGGGGGGTTTGGGGTGGTTTATTGGGCCGTAGTTTGGTTGCTTGGGATGAGGGGGGTGTTGGCAATGTTTGCACACTCCTCATTGTATTGCTCCACAGTTGTACAGGTAGATGCGGCTGTTTGTAATCATCAATAAGTGTTTTAAAATATCTAATTAAGAAAACACGTTGGACTTGTTTTTTTTGTCCTATGTATACAATATTTTAAGTAGGACGTTGGGGAAAGAGACGTTAGATTTTTTAAATAACGTTGCGGAAAAAGGAACAATACTGTACAAGTAAATGCTGCTGTTTGAAATCGTCTAAGCTTTTTTTATATTTTAAATTTAATTAAAATGTAAACCCTATATAAAATATTTTTAAATGAGGTTTTTAAAAATAACGTTGGCAAAAAAGAACGTTGGCAAAAAACCAGCTCTCCTTGGGGGAGGGGAAATCGGTATACTCCGTCTTCAAGGCAAAATATCATACCTGGTAGGGAGCATGGCAGGCAGTACATAGGTGTCAGGTGCTGCCCGATATATATATTATCTGAATAAAGGATAAAAAAACTACCAGCGCATGCGCCAGGATCGACATTCGACATGCATTTAAAAAATAGCACACTGCAAAAAAG